CTCTTCATGCCAGTTCAATTGTTCTTTGTACAACTATTGTTGTACTTGAAAAGTTCAATAAGTTCCTAATAAAAAATTTGCAAAAAATTCGTGTACTTTTGTTGTGTTTGTTTTTTGCAGTGCAGAGTTGTACTCACTGGGCACGCAAATGAAGGGGCGCACAGTCCAGCTCCCGTCGTCGCCACAGCGGGACAGGTAGCCACTGGCGGGCAGGTAGCCGAAGAGGAACTCATGCAGTTGCTTGCAGCTGAAGTGAGCCACGGTGCCGGGAACGGACGGCTGCCCCGTGCAGTTGACGGGAGCGCCGTCCAGGTGGCACGTCACGTACACAGTTCGAGCTTGGAACGGCGGGCACAGAGCTGCAACATCCAATGAAGCAGAAGAGATAAACTCAGTTTCAGTTGTCCTTAACAAAGATTCACCAAAATGTGCCGAAAGTTTGTCAGAGCAAAGCGGCAAACGGTATGAACGTGATATGTGGCGTGTTGCTGATAAAAACGAAATGTTAAGGTCAAGCATTTAGTGTGTATATGCAATGGCAGCATTGCAATTCAGTTCGTACCTCAGCTTCGACCACCTAAATAAAAACCTGGGACAGGCAGTTTTGGAAATTCACTTACTTTTGTTTTCAGGCTGATCAGTCATTGCCACGACCATCGCCGGCACAAACACGATTAGGAAGACGAAGATGGTGCCCATATCGGACCGCTGCTTTCAGGCGGTGATGCACCGCAGTCAGTCTGCCTCTGAACTCGTTTGTCGCTTCCGGTGACAGTCAGCTGAAGGGTCATCACCACCCGGACCACTCCATTATTCTTACCCACCAGAACCACGCTGTATCAAAGCAAAAGCCGGCATTATAAGTTTATTCAATACTTCGTTGGTGAAAAGAGTTTTTGTTTGACTTTAGTGCAGTTTCATCCAGTTTTATCCTTCCCAAAACGGATCTGTTTGGTCTTTCATACGGGGATAGGTATTATACATGGCTATAAGTGTGACAAAAGCTATGGACAATTAAATTGCGTAAACATTTAGTATGCGTGCCGTTCAGTTCACACTCACTGTCAAAACTCTACGAAGAATCACTTCGTAAAACGAAGAAAATTAGGGCATTGTAAAATCTACGAATGCTTCGTAATATGAAGCAAAATCCTTCGTAATACGAAGCATTTCTTCACAACACGAAGCAATTCTACGAGGCCTTCATTCTTCGCAGTTATGAAGCAAATGCTTCGTAGGCTGTTTAGAGTGCTTAATTGATTCCTTTCTGCAATTTTTTTACGTGGTCTCTTACATTTTCGCGCACATGGTCTTTTTGTACAAATTTGTTCGCGATTTCACACGATCTTGTACGATTCTGCGTACAAATTTGTTCGGAAAAGGTCGCATGTTCCAAATTATATGAGACCACGTACAAAATGGTGCAAACATACATTCAGTGTGTTGGTTTACTTACCTCTCGCAGTGACTGTCTCTTCACCGTTCGGTTCGATCCTTCCTCGCCGGCTCGCTGCAGTGACGCACTGGCTTCCGCAGTGGCTGTAGAACTGAGGCACCTCGCGATCCAGGACCGGTCTTCCAGGCCGAACCGGGCTTCGATCAATCGCGGCGGCTGGATGTCATAGTCCAGCAGGTCGCGCAGTCCAGGGAGTACTGTACAACACATGCTAGACGAGGGAAGGTGTTGCAGCGAGCGCGCGAAAATTTGGATCGAAACCGCAAACAATTTGGAATTTCACTCAATATCACTTACTGTTCGTGAATTTGGCGGTTGCGAAGAAATTTGTGCAAACTTAATACGAATTAAATGCGTTTAAGTTTTGAATCTTACTCAGTGGTAAGGAGATCTCCGTAATATACAAATGCAGTCCGGGCAGGGAGGTAACCTGTAGTCCGTACTATGTCGCAGGTGAAATACGGGCTAAAGGGAAACAACTTCGAAAACGAATGAGCACAGCGTTTTAACTTATTTCACACATTGTGTCACTTGTTGCAGTGTAACTCCAACTTGAGTCCACTGTACACCTAGCTCATGTTGCTGCCCCCTCAGCTGTAGAAGAATTTGTTGGAATGCAGAATTCCTTGTGACCACGCCAATTGAACCGCCTTAGTTAGTCAAAGCAGTTTTTGGACACAAAAAAAACACCCTATAAACTCTTCTTGAACCGTACTACAATCGAAAACACTAACACACGCACCAACACGCGCGCGCTCAAGCGATATTCAAACTACGCCAATTAGTTGAGCCGGCAGACGTTTGTGGGTTGGACAAAGAGGGGCACGCTCTTGATACAACGTTACTTCGAGTGTCTAGAATTTTTTTTGAATTTAAAGATGGCCCCTGACTGGACCGGTCTTCCCCATGCGCGGGTTCAGAGTGTTCACTCGGCCTCATCACTCCATCGCGGAACAGCGTGTATGCCGGCTCTAGTCAGCGATCAGTGCGCCGACTCGAGACTCTGCTGCCGTCGACTGCTGGGCACGCCACCATGTGGGCTCCGTTGCTGTTGTTTGCGACTCACACGGCTGTCAGTGGAATGTCTCTCAGCATCCTGGGTAAGTTTTTTCAAAAATAAAAGGGTATCAGCCGCCCACTCTCATCCTTCAATTGACATTTTCGGCCATTGTATTAACATTGATTGACGTTTGTGCACATCAATAGAATGTGATGAAGAAGCTTATCAGATTTGTCAAGCCGACATTGATAATTCGGTTCCTAGAAAAATTAAAAAGTTGAAATGCTCATTAATGTGCACAAAAGTCAAAAGAAAAGGAAAACTCTGCAAGAGTTAGAGAGTGCGGTTCTTCTCGATGAGGTCAGAATACGGAACATAGCGGACTGTACAAGGTAAAAACGGTTCCTGGTTTTCCCAGGAACTCCCTAGAAATCGCCTATGTCCCTACCATAGGGTTCCTGCGAAAACCAGGTACCGTTTTTACCGTGTAATGACGGTCTTGAAGTGGAGTTAAGAACACTGTCGGGGTGCTACTCATTGCTTGGTTCAAGAAACACAGCCTTGGTCGCATTCAAAATTAATTCAAATCTTTTAGTATCCGCGATTGTTTTCAACGTAACGAGAATGTTGTAATGAACAATACACGTACACACTTGCAAGAATGACTGTGTTTGAGTCTCCCTATGTTGAATTGCGGCGTTTGCCATGTGATATAGAAGGTTAAGCTTCAAAGCTGAAATGTTGGCATGTCGAGCCAAACTGTGGGAAAAAATCACAGTAAATCCTGTAAAGATTAGTACAGCTGTCACTAGTTCAGAGTACAGGATTTACTGTACAGTTTTACAGAATCTACTGTACTTTGAACGGGATTTACTGTACCACAGGAGTGGAGTACGGAATATCCTGTACCAGGTACAGTAAATACTGCAGCCAGGCACAGTACATCCTGAACTACAGTAAATCCCGGCAAAAAAAAATAACGGGATTCACTGTCTTTTTTCGCACAGTGCAAGGAAATGATCTATAGTCCATCGTCTCAGCCAGCCGTTGGTGACTTCTACACCGGAATGGCAATAGCAATAACATTTTTGTGGCAACAGGTACAGATTGTCAGACTTCAGTGGGCACAAACGGGAGCTGCATCAGAAGAAGCGAATGTCAGTGGGCGCTAGAGGAGCTGAAACTCGGACGCCGCCCTAAATACTGCCTGAACTCGCTCCCCACCGTGATCGTCTGCTGTCCAGCCGATGGTGCCACCACCCCGTCAGACGACCTGCCTCCTCCCGGGCTCATGTCCAACCGGTCCAAGGCCGTGGGAGACGTTGCACGTAGAAGTAAGCATTTTGTGTTGTGTTCGATACTACATGGGTCGGCCAGGTGGCACTGTGAGCGCCCAGGCCACCCACCAAGCCAGTCTGTGTTGCGGGCTGGCCTACCCTGGCATTATCATTACCATTACGGGCTGGACCACACATGATCGTGTGCCGTTTTGGGCCCGACACAAGCTCGCCTGCACTGCAAAACGGGACGTGACCGTCCTCACTCCCAGCTGAAGGCTCGTCCAAGTGCGAGCTTGCGTTACGGGAATTGTTGCATGAGGCCAGCCCGAGGGCCAGCCCAAATTTCGTGGGGCCTTATACTTATACCAGTCCTTGGCCTAAATCTAAAACTAGTTCGAGCAAAGATTTGTCTACATTTCATTCAGAAAGGCTATTTTACCTAATTTTTGGCCTGCCTGGATTCATCGCCCAAATGTGGGTGATAGTGCCATTCACTGATTGAGCAAAGTCGGGCCATGAAAGTTTCCTTTTGCAGATTAAAACGATCAAAAACTGTTTGCTTGAGGATGGGTCATAAGTCGGGTCATGCATGGTCGGTTCTGATCCCGACTCTTCCACACCGCAAATGCAAGTCTCAAGTCTCAAACTATTTGACGTGAACCACATTGTCTCATCCTTACAAGTGTGAGCCATGTTTGTTCCACACTTGCTGCCCATCGTGTCTTGTGGTACATACCATGGGTCACACGCTTGCAAGCGTGAGACAAATGTGGCTGACATAAGCCAAATAGTGGGAAACTGTATCACGCTTGGATTTGCAGTGCATCCTCATGTGGCATTGTTCCACATGGCCAGTGCAAGAATTGAAATATTCTTTCTACCTTCACACAACAGAGTGCAAGGAGTACGGAGAGTTGGTCTACCAGGAAGTGGAAGTGCCTGCTCTCATCGCCAGGCGGGAGCGCAGAAGCCAATGCGTCTCCACGGTGAAGTCGCTGATTGTCGGAGGTTCGAAAGCCGAGGCCAAGGAGTTTCCCCACATGGTATGTTCGGGTATGTTGCTGCACCTTGCCCGGGCTGCAGAGATCCTCCATCAACTTCATGATTGGAGAAAGTGCAAATGTTTTTAACACAGTCAGTACAACACGTTGGGCCCTATGAACAAAGACCGATGTCTTTTGGGTCGCTCGAACAAAGACCGATCTCCATTGCAGCCGTTCGGATGTTACATCGATTGGCTCCATTAACTGCTCGAAGTTAAGACAATACTGAGTGACTCTCCTTTTCATACTAATTTTGGTTAGCTCAAATAGGTTTTTATGCTACTCGTTTCTAAGTAACTCGACCAGTCGTCTTTTAGTGCTTGGCCTGCATCCATTGTGCACTGGCATTAACTTGTTTGTTGTTCTAGTACACACTAAACTATGTAGTTTTTTTTTTAAGTGCATAAGCTTTGCACAAAATTCTGTATGCGTTTTAAAATGCACGAAAGTGTGCGTTTCGTGCGTTTCACGCGCATGCTCAACTCTGTGCGAAAGCTATGCACAAAGAACTACGTAGTAATTTGGTTTGTGTCGGGCTTCCAACAATGTACCTGCTTCATTCCGTAGGCCTTGTTGGGCTGCCGCTGCGGCTCCTCTCACTTGGACTGCGACGGTGACTTGAACTTCTTCTGCGGGGGCTCACTCATTTCCCCCAACTTCATCCTCACTGCAGCACACTGCCTCTATGCACGGTAAGCGAAGTAATTTCTGACGCTCGTATTTTATTGGTTTAAGGCGGGACCCTGGTGAAAAAACCGCCAAAATTCCAATAAATTGTATTTTCAAAGTTCATAGATAAAAATGTGCATAGAAGGTTTCAGACTCAACAGGTTGAACACCTTTAAGCTAAGTGGGTAGTTTCTTTATCATTTGGAAGGAAATAACATTGAGATCAGTTGTGGTTGGCTTCTACGCTCAACTTTACAGCTTTGCTCAGTCGACAAAAAATTTTGTCGTAGAAAGACTTCCTGCGTTCCTGGTTGACACCTACATGAGTCGTCTTGCATGGACTCTATTCATTGATGACTTTTCTACAAATTTTAGTGACGGAATCTTGATATCAGCCCTACTTTTTTTAAAACACACCTAAAAGTTTGAAAAAAGGGGAAAAAAATCATTTTTTTTTTAAATGTTAAAATTTGAAAACTCATATCTCAGGACAGAAGTTGAATTTGAAAATTCCGTCACTAAAATCTCTTCTATACATCTTTAGGATAACCCAAAAAAATTTTCAAGACTTTCCGTCTCAATGAAAGACGCAGGAAGATTTTCCCCCAACGCTCCAAAAAACACTACAAAGCCACTTTTCTCAGAGACCGTTCAACATTTTGAATTGAATTTTGTTTTGGGAACTCACTATAATGAACCTAATAATTAAGCAAAGTTTCAACTTCCTGGGATTATTTTGAAGCCTACTTGAAAGTTTCACCCGGGCCCCCCCCTAATTTGTTTCTGAGGGTTGTATACACACTAAATTCTGATGGACTTCTGGTCCATAACTACGGCCATATTTGTGCATCCGAAAGTTATGTACAAATTTGTACATAAATTAGGTAATAAGGTGAATTAGGAAGGTATGTTTGCACATAACACGCAGTGTATTTACATTTTATTTTCGTAAATAGTTTCCAAAACAGATTGATCACTCCCCTATTAAGTTTAAGTAAATAGTAGTAGTTTAAACGAATGCGTATTTAATGAAACGAAAGATAATAGCGGGCTGAGAGTGTGAGTGCCAGGTTCCTGCTCTTTGTACGGACGGTATGTCATGTTGTGCAGTGCAAGCATGGCAGTTACCGGGCCCGAACCGGCATAAGATCAGTTGTGGTCTAGCCTTTCAAGTCAAGTCAAGGAGCGCCTGATGAAGTCGGGTAGGCAAGCCCGCAACACAGCGGAGCGCAACGGGCGGCCTAACGCGAGTTCGCAGGCGCTCCATTGGCATGCACAGGCATTTGACAACTGCTTGTTCGTCTCAATCTCTAACCTATAAGCAAGGGTAAATAAGTAAATAACTGAGGTCAAATTCATATTCACCCAGATTTGCCAAATATTTGAAATTTACTGACATTCATCAAAATTTACCAAAATTTTCCTCAAAATTCAGTAAGTTTTGCCCAAAATTCGTTGAAGTGTGGAGACTGAAAATTACGCACCTCGGCATTTCAAGTGTGGAGTTCTCCAGGTTTGTTTTCACAGTGCAGTGTTGTCTCTCCAAGCGAAAGCAAATCTTGCTGCGTCTCAGGAACAAAACGGTGCAGCTGGTGCTGCTGGGTTCGCTGGATCGGATCAACATGACGGAGGCGGACTACGAGCAGCTCATCGGCGTGGCGGAGCGCATCCCCCACCCCAAGTACACCTCCAGCTCCACGTACCACGACATCGCCCTCCTGCGCCTGGAGAGCGACGCCGTCCTCAGCGGCCACGTTCGGCCGGCCTGCCTGCACACCGGGGAGCCCATGGATCAGCAGGCCGTGCCCGTCGCCACCGGCTGGGGCTTCACCGACCTGGGTGAGTCCCACAGAAGGCCACACACCCAATTTCCTACTGAGAAATGCCGTGCAGTCATAATACTAAGCTAAATTCTCAGTACTTTTCGACACAAATCGGTCATGATACAGAGAAATATGTTCGTAATTTGAAGAAAGCGGCGATAACTTACTGAGAACTCTTCACCATAGGTTACCACCTTCACTGCTCTGTCATAATACTAAGCTTTTTTGTTCGTATTACGAAGAAAAGGCTCAATGGGATATTGGGAGTGCACTCCACTGCTGCTGACAGACTCGAAAGAGAGCACATGGCATGCTTGCACTAAAATTCAAAGAGTGAGGCACCTGACCAATTTTGGGCGATACAAAAGGTATGACCAAGGCCAAACACACATGTATGGCCGTAAAAGGGTCACTTAAATGGATGACAGAAAAAAGGAGCAGAGATCAGTGCGACTGGCCCATGTTAGGCTTGGGACGTATCAATCTTTACCAGTGATACAAAAAGTATGACCATTTTTTGCCCATACATCGTAGTATGCCTCCAACCAGGTCTCGTTGTGGTTTGTACAATTCTCGTTGTACTTTTACTGTACAGTTTTTGTTGTACTTTTGCTGTACTATTCACACATTTTCTTGCAGTGAACCATTAGTAATAGCGTGCCACTTGTTGACAGTCGGCGAGCCTAGCGACGTCCTGAAGAAGGTGGGTCTACGCCTTGTGGCGGACGACGCCTGCCGGTCCAGCTACGCGAGCCACAACCCCACGAGGCTTGCCAACGGCATAGACTCGGCGTCACAGCTGTGCGCAGGTATCGGACTAAGGGCCAATATGACGCATCTCGATGATCTCGATACATGTCCATGCTATGCTGTGCATCGATGTGTGAATAACAGACCCCTTGCTGTCAGAGGTTGATATCGTATCGACCTTGACATACCGCATCTACGTCAACGTAACGAACTCGATATATGTCGTATCAACCTTAAAAAATCGTATTGACTTCGATATATGTCGTATCAACCTTAAAAAATCGTATTGACTTCGATATATTGTATCGACTTAGATATGTTGTATCGACTTAGATATATTGTATCGACTCCGATATATTGTATTGACTCCGATTTTTGGTTCAAAATTCAATATTTTTAATTTTTGAACCTTGTTTTGAGGGGACTTTTCCTCCCTCTGACCCCTTAGGTGATTGACTTCATGTTAATTGTGTGTTTGGTTTGGATGTTGCCGGGAGTTGAACCTCGGACCCGTGGCTTGAGAAGCAGAGGCCTTGACCACTGCACTACTGAGCTTCCTTGTGAATAGGGGCTTGGCTACTCGACCACATGGAAAGGCCGGCTTTCCTCAGGAACTAGAATTTAACTGCTAGAAAACTACAGTTTTACTGTAAGCCACTCTGTACTGGGAGTGAAATTCACTTGTCCTAAATGTAATTTATAATGAATTTGTCTCAGAAACCAAGACACCATGGAGTGATTTAATTCAGAGAGCCTTCAAGGTCTTAATTTTCAACGACTGGAGTCGTTACCTTTTTAACTTCTGAGACGCACTGTCCTATAATGCTTTCTAGTTTTACTTGTGTCTGACATTTTATCATCCGGTCATAATGAATTTGATGCCACTTAGTTTGACCTTGTTTGGCGTCAAGCTGGCTAAATTTTGTGGCTTGTTGATTTCCACGATACTTTGTCACATGCTACCTGACCAATACGGAACATTATAAAATAAGCAAACAGATAACCAGATAGTATTTTAAAAATTGGTTACATCCAGCCATATAGGTTTTTATATGAAAGTTTAGTCGTGTCTTCTAAAAGTCTGCAACGTCAAGTATTTCAACGTAAACCTTTAAAAGAAATAACTGAAACTTCTAAGAGATATTTCCTTTTCAATCCTTATATTATTTTAATCACTCAATGTAATTGTTTTTGTTTCCTCATTTCAAGTTGCAGTGCTTGACATCTTAAACTATGCCTTTATTGAAAAATTACTACAAATTGTTGTAAACATTCAACTAGTTTGTCATTGTGTAAAAAGGTATGAGCAGAAACTTTATTTCCTTTGTAGATCCTGCTGCAGATATAAGTGTAGGCGGATCTTCAGTAGTGGACTATTAAAGTAGAGTAGTATTAAAAAAACTTTTAACTTCACTTTTTAACTGCAGATAGTACTTAATACCTGGTCAATAAATAGCAGTTCAGTTAGAAAGCAGTTTGCATACACAGCAAACTACAGATCCATGAGCAAACTGAAACTGGACTTATTCTGCACTTTGTTCTTACCAAAAACTGCAGTTCAGGAACTGTAGTTTTGGCACTACAGTTTAAACTGCAGTTTCACTATAGATCCTTCCACCCGGGTTATCAATCTCTATTATCGCATCGACCTTGTAATATCGTAACAATATCGCACACCCCTGCGCACAGGCGGCGAGTTAAACCGGGACACGTGCTTCGGCGACTCTGGAGGCCCGCTACAGGTGTACGCCACCAACACCACGCAGACCCCCGACGAACCCTTCTGCATGTACAAGATCCTGGGCGTGACGTCCTTCTCCAAGTTCGCGTGCGGCCTCAAAGACCCCGGCGTGTACACGAGGGTCTCGTCCTACGTGGCATGGATCGAGAACATCGTCTGGCCACAGCAGTGACACATCAAGAAAAGCTGACATTAAAATGGTGATGTAAAATGATTGACATGAAAACGATCTCCTCTCCCATTGACGTCCATTATTGACTGGTCCAAAACAGTTATCATTCCAACAGTGATTTTTCTTCCTTTCAAACTTTTTGGATGCGGTGGGCACGTGAGATTGATTTATCAGATAGCCGTCCCCGCTTTCTTGCGCGGCGACGTTTCTCGCTCTATCAAAATTGTTTCGATAGCTGTGTTTGGAGCTTTGTAAAGCAATGATATGCATTTCTGGTATCAATTCAAAGCACGCTGGTGTCGAGATAAATGAAAAACAAAGACGAAAGAACGTAAGGTAATGGTCGAAGGGACACTGGTAGAACTCAAGCGTAGTTTTACGCCTTTCTTCAAGCGTAGTAGAACTACGCTCGGTTTCAAGCATAGTTCTCCATTTCACCCCTCTCCCGCCTATATAAATGCATGGGAGAATTTCTTCTCTACGCTTGACGTCAAGCGTAAAGTCTTCAAGCGTAGTTGTATGCTTGAATCAAGCATACAACTACGCTTCAGTTTTACCGGTGGATGCGCGATCAAGTGAGGCACTTGAGACGAATAAGATATTCAACTAGGGTTGAAACAGTGATTTTATTCTGTATAAATAAGTCTCAATAAATAAATAAATTTTCCATATTTTTTGGCCTTATGTTACGAAAGGGCATATTGTTTTTTGAATTTTTATGGAAAGTTTTCGACCCGTGCCAACCTTAAATTAAAAGCGCGTTTCACTTCCAAGATGTCACGACCAGAATCACGTCGATAATTCATATTTCACTCATTAAACTCATAAAGTTAACTTAACATAACTCATTAAGTTAAAACAAGGGCATATCTGATGGCACAGAAAACACACACACACACACACACACACACACACACACACACACGCTACAAACTCTAAATACAAAAATATCTAAAAGAAGTATTTCAAAACCTAAAGTACTACGTGTAAGTATTTCACACAATGAGCAATTTCACCTTTTTGCAACTGTGACTTACGGACGTTCACAGCAAAAACTACACGAAGAAACGCTTCGTGATACGAAGCCAGAAAAGGCTTTGAGAAAGCTGCGAAGAAATGCAAGCTTTCAATATGAAGTAGTTGTACAATGCCCTGGTTTTCTTCGTAGTTATGAGGCAAATGCTTCGTAGGCTTTTAAGAGTGTTCAGCACCAGGCAGTGGCGTGCGCAAGAGGGGGGGGGGAGTCAAGCATGACCCCCGCCTTTTTGACCACTAGCCAGCCTCCTGGAAGGTAGGCAAATTGCATCACTTTCCCCTGTAAGTAGGCAAAAAGCATGGCCTGAACCCCCACTTTCAAACTTTCTGCACTGTAAAAAATTCCGTACTTTTGTACGGAAATGGTACAGTAAAATATAGTACGGAGGTACGGAGAAAAGTACGGAACGTTCCGTACTTGCTCCATATGAACCCATGTAAATGGGTACGGAAAGAAAGTATGGAACGTTCCGTAGTTGGCAAGTACGGACGGGCCAGGCAAATTATTGACCAGACATGTTCCGTACTTTTTTCTCACAGTGTGTGCACGCCACTGGCTCCAGGCCGGCTGTCCCTCGAGGGGGCCACCACTCTCATTTCAGGCGTACACAAGATTACGGGATTACGGGATATTTACCAGGGATTACGCATGAAATTTTCGAAAATTGGTTCGAAAACGTTGAAAAATAGCTCGAAAACGTTGGAAAATGACTCAAAAACGTTGAAAAATGACAGAATTTTGTCAAGGATTACGTGATTACGCCATGGATTACCAGAGATTACCAGCAAACTTGTACACAGGATTACGGGGGTGGTGGCCCCCTCGCTGACCCTCCTCGCACTCACAGGAGGTCCCACTTGCCGTCCACGTCCGGCCTGCACTCCTTGAAGTCGGCGGCGCAGTCCGCCAGCATGTCGGCGAGCGACTCCGTCTTGAGGTGCTTCCAGCCGAACGAGACCCAGAGTCGCTGCAGGCGCGGCAGCTCGTCGAAGCACACCCGCCGCACGTCGGCGAGGTGGTTGAGGGCGGTGGCCACGTCGGGGGAGAAGACGGACAGGCGGAGGCTGGAGAGGCTGCGCAGGCGGCGCAGCTCGGCGAGCCCCACGCCGTTGCAGCCCAGCAGGGAGAGCCGCTCCAGCTCGCTGCACTTCACCACCTTCTCCAGGATGTCGCCGCGCCCGGACTTGTGCCAGACGCGCAGGTGGCGCAGCGAGGCCGCCGCGCCGTGCAGCAGGTCGCCGAGGAGGTCGTCCGAGGCCGCGGGGCTCTCCAGCCACCGGTCCACCGTCAGCACGCGCAGGCCGCGCGCGCAGCCCCGCAGCGCGCCGTTGTACTCAAGGGGCCGCTCCTTGGGGAAGCTGAGGTGCAGCTCGCGCAGCCGGGGCAGGTCGGCGATGACCTGGGACCGAGGGCAGGCAAGTTTTAATTTCAGGGGCATTCCAGACCCAATTAGCAGGCCGCGTAGGTGACCACTGCCGATTTCGTTCCTTTTGTGGTCAAATGTTACCTACCACTAGAGTAAGATGACCCTAAATTTTTAAGGTCGAAATATGAATACTTCAGGAGATATCGCAATTTGAAATTTTCTCTGAAATTTCTTTTAGTGGTTCTGAACAAAGTGTCAACTTTTGCGCGAATCCCTCCTGCTTCTTAAATTTTTGACTCAGAAGGTCGAGATCACTGCTCCTTACGTAAAATTCATCAAGGAATCAGAATCCGTCGCCAAAAAGCACCTACGATCGAGTTTAGAGGTCAAAAAGTGGCCTCAAACACAAAATTTTGTTATTTTTGTGCCTAATTTCAAGGCAAAAATGTAAAGGGAAGCGGGTCTAAACATAAACTTCCCAATAGTGGAAAATGTTCCTTTAGACTCCCTCTAAACAGCTGCGGCTCGAAAAAGATGGTTATAGGTCAGGATCAGGCAACACAGCCTTAAAATTAGAGAGCGAATTTCAATGAATTTAATAAATTATGTTAGCAGTAGGGTGCGTCGATACAGACGTATTTTTGACTACGACTCTTTGTAAGCGCTCTATGTTGATGATTTTTTGGTGCTGATTCCAAAACTGACCTCGGTACTACGATGGGACAACTTCTTCATGTCCCTATTGGGTGTTAAGTGCCAAAAAACGGAGAGTTTCAAGACTTTTTCTTGGTTTTTGGTCCCGCACACCATCCCAAACTGTCGGGGCGACTGTTGCATGGTCTGTTGGACATCACGTCCACAAAAGACAACTCTTGCAGTGTGGCTGGGCTATCGGACACCTTCCATGTAAGTTCCAGACGTCAATTTTTATGCTATTCTTACTAATTTCTTCGTTATTCTGCCGTAGCTTCACTGTATTTTGACAGGGGTGTTATGTAACCAAATAAAGCAATTTGGCACTGCGACCTTGAGACTCGTGTCAATAGAGCATTCTAGTCGTCCAAGATCGAAGAAGTAGAAGAAGAACAAATCTGGAACTCGCGTCGGCAACAAACTTTGCAGACTCCTGCTATTGGACTGGATTTAGAGATGTCCGAGGCGTATATTCTCCAATGCACTTTCGTTTGTTTCAAATACTTTTTAACCCAGGAATTGAGGATATTTGTGGATATTTCTCCTTGAAACCGGGCTCGCCTTGTACTTTCTTCCTTCCCGCCTTCCGGTTTTGTTCTTCTTTTCGTTTTTCAATCGCCAACGACTAGAATGCTGTATTTAAAAGTAAAAGGGAGTTTCTTAAAGGAGTAGAAACACCTTTCCAAGGTAACGTAAGACCTGCAGGCCCAATGCAGGCCCATATAGTTATCACCTGGCGCGCAGCAAGAGCGGCTGGGGCCTTTCGGGGAATTTCTGCCACTGTAATTCAAAGGGTGAGACATCGCACCAATTTTTGGCGGAACAAAATGTATCACCGAAAAAGGGTGATACTAAAATGTATCACCGAAAAAATGGTCGTACACGCATGTATCACCGAAAAAAAGGTGAGAAAAGGCGAGTTGGCCCTTGTTTTCCTGGGAAAGTATCAACCTTTTTTCGGTGATAGATTTGTGTACGACCTTATTTCCGGTGATACATTTGTGTACGACCTTTTTTTTCGGTAATACATGCGTGTACGCGATCATTTCTTCGTTGATACATTTGAGTATCACCCTTTTCCGGGCCGAGACAGTTATGTCTCACCCCTCAGAGAGTGAGATGTATCACTATTTGATTTTCAGTGTGCTGACCCCCCCCCCCGCTAAAATACTTTGTCATTTAAAAACAGGCAAATTAACGAAGACATTAGTAAGAATAGCATAAAAATTGACGTCTGGAACTCACATGGAAGGTGTCCGATAGTCCGGCCACACTGCAAGAGTTGTCTTTTGTGGACGTGATGTCCAACAGACCATGCAACAGTCGCCCCGACAGTTTGGGATGGTGTGCGGGACCAAAAACCAAGAAAAAGTCTTGAAACTCTCCGTTTTTTGGCACTTAACACCCTATAGGGACATGAAGAAGTTGTCCTATCGTAGTACCGAGGTCAGTTTTGGAATCAGCACCAAAAAATCATCAATATAGAGCGCTTACCACGAGTCGTAGTCAAAAAGTCGTCTATATCGACGCACCCTACTGCTAACATAATTTATTAAATTCACTGAAATTCGCTCTCTAATTTTCAGGCTGTGTTGCCTGATCCTGACCTATAACCATCTTTTTCGAGCCGCAGCTGTTTAGAGGGAGTCTAAAGGAACATTTTCCACTATTGGGAAGTTTATGTTTAGACCCGCTTCCCTTTACATTTTTGCCTTGAAATTAGGCACAAAAATAACAAAATTTTGTGTTTGAGGCCACTTTTTGACCTCTAAACTCGATCGTAGGTGCTTTTTGGCGACGGATTCTGATTCCTTGATGAATTTTACGTAAAGAGCAGTGATCTCGACCTTCTGAGTCAAAAATTTAAGAAGCAGGAGGGATTCGCGCAAAAGTTGACACTTTGTTCAGAACCACTAAAAGAAATTTCAGAGAAAATTTCAAATTGCGATATCTCCTGAAGTATTCATATTTCGACCTTAAAAATTTAGGGTCATCTTACTCTAGTTGGCTGAGCGATAGCGAAGCCTGTTACTCCATTGGGGTTGAAAAGTTTTTCCTGTCTGTCTGTACGTCTGTCTGTCTGTCTGTCTGTGTGTCCGCACTACTCCTCCTGAACGGCTCGGCCGATCTCGGTGAGATTTTGCACACTTTATGGGCATGTCCTTGGCTCGGCACACGCGAAATTTCACTATCCTAGCTCAACTGGTTCAGTTTTTATAGCCGAAAAACACCTAAAAAACGGCGAAAAATCGAGTTTTCTGCAGACAGATCACTTCTGCCTTGAAGAAGGGAGGTCTGGGGGGCTCAGCTCCGACAAGTTGAAAAGTTACAAGGGATCTAGAATGAGGGGGGGTCTGGGGGGGGCCCCCCAGCATGCATGTAGTTACAAGTAGCCGTCGATGGACAAGCCATTGCCTGCCGAAGGCAGGCTAGCGCCGCAGGCCAAGGTAGGTACGCCAGGCGCGGTTTGGAGGAACAGGCAGCGAGACATCGCGAAGCCTGTTACGACAAGACGCGGTCTGGCGTAAACCTACCTTGTGGTAGGTAACATTTGACCACAAAAGGAACGAAATCGGTAGTGGTCACCTACGCAGCCTGCTAATTGGGTCTGGAATGCCCCTTCAGTGTATCAAAAGAAAATCACTGTGAATTTCGGTGTACAAATCGTACATATTTTAGTCCATTTTCGATGAGTTTTAGTGAATTTTACATGTTTGATGAATTTTGGTGTACAAATTAGGGTGGAGTTATTTCCCCTCGGTGTACCTATATTTCTTTTAGTGTCAGTGAATTTTGATGAGTTGCATTTGAATATTGGTAAACCGCGATGAATGGCATTGAATTGGACGTGTGAATCAAAAGAGCGTTCATGTGCTCTCATCATCCTGAAGTCAACAACGCCGTTGCTTGGGCACGGTTTGGTGTGGTTGTCGTTTTAGACGCTGAATAAAATATGGAATTTACGTGCATTTTAATGTTTTTCCACTGCACTCATGTGAACACCTGACTGCACAGTGATTCAACCCTAGATTGAATTTCAATGCACTTCATTGAAATTCAATGAACTGCTATGAGGCGTACGTGAATACGAAAATATGTTATGCGCATTTTGATAGGTGTTCTTTTTTAGAATTGTCTTGTATTTTTAGAACATTTATCTGTATTTCAATGGATTCCCGATAGAAACCTACAGTAATTGCGTGGAAATTTCGTACAATGGCCATTGAATTGCGACAAGTTTCACCAAATTTTCTCATGAATTGCGATCACTCCAGCAAATTTCGAAAAGAAGACGGTAAATTTGAATTCAAGCGTACAACTTTTCTCCAGCCTGTTCCGCTACCTGAAACGCGTCGCAGCGGCGCGGCTGCATCCAGCCGAGCAGCGCCGCCATGTTGGAGGTACGGTCGTCGCCGGGCGCGCTCAGGTGCAGGTTGAGGTGGCGCAGGTGGCGGCGGCTGCGCCGCGCCACGGCGAGCACCGCGTCGACCACCTTGTCGGAGGCGCCGGCGCGGAACAGGGCGCGCGCGTCCAGCTGCCCCAGGACGACCAGGCTGCCGCGCCGCAGCGCCGACTCCAGCGCCGCGTCCAGGACCATGAGCTCCAGGCGCGCCACGGCGGGGGCGCGTAGCAGCACCCGCGCGTCCGTGTCGTGGTCCGAGCCCGCCCCGCTCAGCCACACCTCGACGCCGGACCAGGCCCGGGGGTCGCGGGCCAGCCGCCGCCACCGCCGGCACACCAGCGGCACGGCGTCCAGCAGCGGCCCGCCGTGCGTCAGGAAGGAGAAGATGTGCAGCATGACCTCGTCCGGCAGCAAGTCGAAGTCCGACAGGGACCTGCACCGTCAGGAACAGAATCGTCAGCACCCGAAGGTCCTTGCAGTGAACTTCGAGGGGGTTAGCACTTTCAAAACCAGTGGCCCGACTGTTACATTAATCGGGTAAACAACTTCGAAAAATTCTGTACCACGAATCCCTAAGTCAACATTTAACTAACAGCATAACGTAACATTATTACTACACTCTCAGACCTATATGGACTTTTTTCTCTCTTGCTTATTGCATTTTTTGAGCAAACGTAAAATGTACTATTTTCTTCTTAACTATGCACAATTTTGATCGGAATATAGATAAAATTATCAATAGATCATGTAGAAATTGAAACGTACATTGCAAATGACAAAAAGTCCGGTTTAATGGACTAAGTACATCATACAATAAACAAAATGGTGCATAGCTAAAAAGAAAAAATACGATTTCAAGAAATCCTAGGAGTCACGAAGTCAATTTGAGTAGGAGTGTGGGGAAAGCAAAAAAGTTATGTAAAAGGTAGGGGGTGGCTCAAGGGTGGCTACGAACGGCAGTGGTACCAATGTGGTCGATGTGCCACCCGTCAAAATTTAACCTTGGCAATAAAGAAAAATCAAAATTCCGGGAAATTCGAAAAATTCCAATGCTAATGTATTCCACAGTGATCTGACAAAGGAACATCTTAGAAGTCCATCATTATGAAAATTTTGGTAGCAGAAAGAAGGCAGTAAATTAATTTTCGCGGGTTGGCAACACTTTTGTCGGCGTCTGCGCCCTTGCGAAAATCGCGAAGCTGAAAACACGAGTATAGTCGCGCATTAAAACCGCCCCTCCATTGTTGCTGACGTTGAATTGTTTGGCTTGTTTCAAAAGGCTACGGTTCTCTAGTCATGTTTTCTTCAATTCTGTGTAATAGTTCTCACTCACAACGTAGCAACACCACGACGGTTGGCTTGACAAACTTTATAAACTCGAGAGGGATGGTCTCGAAACGCGGGTGAGTCTTGTTCGAGGAACATGAGCACTGAAAGTCGCGAGGTGGATCGAAGTGATCATGGTGCTAACTGAATCAGAAGTACCATCAAACCTGGCTAAAAGGAGCAGCTACATGACCAGCTTATTCAAAAAGAGACTAAAAGTCTTAAAGCAACTCTTAAACTACATTAAGGAAAGATAATTCACAGATGCATGTGCACAGGTACGCAGATAATGGCTCAATTCACTCCGATTTGAAGAGTAACAAAAATTTTCAACAAAACAACAACGCAGCGGTGCGGGATTGGTGCGGGACACTCTCATAAAAAGTCACTGGCCGGCCGGCCGATCCAAATGGCCACGTTCGAAACGACACCGATTCTATTGTTGCATCTTGTCTACCTGCAGTCAAAGAAATTTTTCATTTCGAACGTGCTATTTCAGCTTTTGGAGTAAGCTGTACAGACCCAAAAATAAGCTCCGCTATTGGTCCGGCTCGGCTCGGCTCCCCCCACTCCCTTTTTTTTCCTTTGACGAGTCGAGTTTTGCCATGGAAACGGCGATTTTGACAGCAAATTTCTCAAAATTGGCCGTTGACTTTTTAACCAGATTTCGGCATCAGAATCAGCGTTCAAAGTTCTACAAGTCTGCAAAATCTCATTAAAATCGTATAGAAAATTTCCGAAATGCATAAAGGGCCACACAAATCGAATCTCGGGCCGGCTGAATCCTGGGTATACTATAAGGCTACTTCGTGCCTAAAAAGTACATATTACGTTTGCACAAAAACCTTTATGGCAAGAGATAAAAAGTCAATACGAGTCTGAGAGTGTAGGCATGAAGAGCATTTGCCACGTGAGCTTAGTGGTGGTGAAAACGCGCCCGCAGGTAGGCCACCCAACCTGCTTCCGTGGCACTGTGCTTGCAGTAGGGCGGGGGCGACGAGTGCCCGATGGGTTGCCTATCTAACGGCGTTTCCCAGAGAGTGCGCTCTACTCTACTGCTAACGCTATCCAGCTAGTTGGGACCGGACCGGGTGACATTTTCGCAGTTAAAAAGAAACACCGCTCTTTGCAAGCAGTGCTTAAGATCCTTCTTGGCAAAGTTGACCTACACGGTGTACGTAATTTAACATAAGAGACGGAGGATTTTTAAGTGTACAGATCGGTCATTTTAAATTGACAGTAATACTGTCATCGACAGCCCAGCCAAATGCGTCCAAATCCGTTCTCTCGTGTGAAGAATTTATCGACTGAGATCAAATAAAACCGTTGGCTAAGCCACGTGCCACGCCAGTATAGCTGCAGGCAACTTTTCATGCGAGAGAGGCGAGGCGGGGACGTCTTTTCCCACATTCAGGACTGCCAATCTGCCGCACGAAATGTTGCCTGTGTTTCAAACCACAGGCGCGGTCTCGCCCCGGCCACCCTGTACCCGTCAGTTGATATATTGAAAAACAAATGAATGAACAGTGGGCTAGAAGATAGTGCAAGTGGAGAAAACTCTGGACGCGGTTTGAACTCCTGAGTAACAGGATAGTACTTGAGGCAACTGAGGCATTGGTCTCCCAATGAGGGATCCATTTGTGGGACCACACGTTCGGTTCGAGTCCCATTTAGCAGCTCCGGAGCCAAAAAAAACGCCTCGGCCGCCTCCTCCGGTCTTTTGGCCCACTGAGCATCGTCGAGAAAGTGTTCTATTTGAACGTGGGAGGAATTACCCCCACACTAAATTCTTGTGGACTTTTTTATGCATAGTTATGCATGCTCAGAAACGTCCATATGTTATGCATAATATTATGCATCACTGTGTACATTTTATGCAGGAAGATGCATAAAATGTACACAGTGATGCATAATTTTATACATAACATATGGACGATTTTGAGCATGCATAACTATGCATAAAAACTGCGTCTCTATGCATTTAAAAAGTCCATAAGAATTTAGTGTGCCGCATCCACCCCGGCAACGTCAATGCTTACCCCTCTTCATAGCTGCTCGCATCTTGCTCCAAACTTGTCAGCAAGGTCTGCGTATCACTACCTCTCCGACACCAGAAGCCGAAGAACCTCCTACACATCTCTGACTTCCTCAGATGTCACCTGAAATAACACAATGTCCATGGTAAAGTAAGAATGGCGATGTAAACGCACACTGAGAGAAAAATGTACGGTTTTCACCGTTCATCTATTAACGGGATTTGCCGTACTTGGAAGTACAGCGTTTACCGTACTTTGTACAGTGCATTAGCTGAGAGACACCCGTTTCTTTACAGCAAAGTCAATCGGGACCATTTTAAACACTCTCTCAAACTCGGAATGGAATCCATGGCCACATCTTTACAATGCAGTGTACAAATTACGGCAAACGCCGTACTTTCAGGTACGGTAAACACCGTATTTCCAAGTACGGCAAATCCCGTTCATAAATTTACACTTCAAACCTAACTGTCTACTAAGTACACACTTACAAATGCATGCTTGCAAGTAAGTACACACTTACAAACGCATGCTTGGCAAAGTGCACACTTACAAATGCATGCTTGCAAGTACACAGTTACAAACGCATGCTTGACGCTGTATAACTCTATGCGTCAAGCATGCGTTTGTAAAAGTTCGTGTGCAAAGAAAAACTGTGATGTCTCGTGCAAAATTGTACATAACATTTAGTGTGTGACGACGTTCCACGTCCCCATCTCGACAGGTCTCACCTCACCTTCCTCCTTCCCGCCGGGCCGTGGCGGCGCGCGGGATTCCCTGGCGACGGCGGTGACGTCATCCCACACAAGCTGTCGGCGCGGGCCGCATTAAGGAGGGGAGGGGCCCCGCAGGAAGGCGCGGGTGAGAGGAGTGAGAGACGCGCGGCGCGGGCGGGATGGAAAAGAGGGAGGGGGCAGGCCCATTTCGCACACCGCTTCGCCGTTGTCCCTCTCCTCATGCGAATGGGACGCAAAGGGAGCAGAGCGGCGCCGGCAGACAGCGATGTGTAGAATGAGAGGAAGAGGCGAGAGCAGCTCTGGAGAGGGGAGGGGGAGGGGGAAGGGGGCGCGCGACGGGGCAAAGACCTGGTATCCGGGCCGCCAGTTCGAACGCTGTGGGTACGGAACGGATGGTGCAATGTCAGCATTGTGTTGCACCCAGGAGCGACCACAGACCACATCACCACTTCACGTGTGTCCTGTGTTGGAGCGCATGGGCATTGGCTGGCTGTCATGGCACCAATCGTGCAATGATAGAGAATTTAAACGCACTGCACCGAACTGGCGCTGCACCCGTGTCCCATATATTCTCAGTAGAGAAGGAGGGCAATTCACTGCAAACAGTTCCGTGGTTTGGTACGGAAAATGTACCGACCTTACTGGTTCTCTGTGGTCTCCATAAGGATCTCAAGCAAACTGGCACGGACAATATGTACAGATCCGTGGTTGGCAAGGTACGGACGGTCCAGGTGAAAAATTGACCAGACACGTTCCGTACTTTTATCTACCAGTGTGGAATTAGAGGGGGGGCGCTGCTGAAGAAGCCGCGAGATGTCACCTTTAAGCATCGTGTCACAATAAACAAATGTATGGCCGATTCACATCCGAACGAATGTGCGTGCTCTCAGGAACGTGACATTTTGTCACTGTCATTTGAACGTGATGCGACGTGATGTCCCTTTCCTGGAACGAGAGTGCGCTCACTGGAATTCCCTGACAACTCACACGTGCTCGTATGTTGAAGACTTCGAAACGACGGGCATCTTGAACGGAAGGGCACTTCGTCAACGGGAGCGCCTCGCTTCGTATTCGCGGTGCTGCCGGGCGAGCGCGACGAGGTCCGACACGCCGACCCACTGCATGCTGTTTCTCGCTGTTTCCCCGTGCACCGCCGGAGCCAGCATGCTACTGGGCCGGGCCGGCATCCCAACGTCTCCTTTGGTCCTCTTTCGCCGCGTTCCTCTCTCGCTCCACAGCCGGGCGCCGCGGCGGAGCAGGCCGGCGAGGGGCGGGCGGGGGAAGGGGCGCCCCTTCCTCTCCTCCAGGTGACTCGTTCGGTTCCCACCCAGGACGGACTGATGAGAAATTAGCGGGAACAGTTGCCTTGCACTGTTGAAACGGTTCCTGGTTTTCCCAGGAACTCCCTGGAAATCGCGGGTGTATGCGTTTTGCGCCGCGTCTACCTGGCCCTAATCCGGAAACAGACCGTTTGCGCCGTGTCGCTTCGGGGGCCGTCTTTAAACTGTGTGATCCGGCGCAAAAGGGCGCGTTGCAGCCTGGCGTGCACGATGTGTTGCCCAAGGAATTCAGAGAATTCAAAGAATTGCATTATTTCTATTATTGAGCACTAATAATGTAACATATCACTGTCAGTCAACAAACCACTAAATCCAATTCAGTCACAAACATTGCTCCTCCCCGTCCTCTCCAACATTCTCAGTCTTCTTTAACGTGTTCCGCATCCAAATTTGAAACTATTGTAAAGAAGGCATTGGCCGCCTTTGGATGTTTAAGTCACAATTAAAGTCATAACAACATCACTTTACTCTTAGCTGGGTGCTACGATCTGATCAGATATGTAAACGGAGCTGAGGCGAACTGACACGGACGCCGAGTTGGTGTTGGTGACGGCAGGTGAGCGGAGGCAGCCGGCTGGGCACGGCAAGAGGGGCAGGGCAGGGACGGGAGCGGGACGCGGCGCGATACCATAGTACATAGTCTCTACCATAGGCTTCCTGGAGAAACCAAGTACCGTTTTTACCGTGTGGTGGGCGTGTCAACACTCTCAGCCGTTTGCTGACTATTTCTCATTAGCAGACGTATTTCTGTAAGCAACCATAATACTCAGTAGTTAGTTCCTAAATACTTAAAAATGTCTTTGAAATTTACAAAGAAAACGGTAATATCAGTACAGTAATTAGCAATTGCTAAGTAATACTGACAAGAAATACTGAGTATTACGGTTGCTTACAAAAATGCGTCTGCTAATGAGAAATAGTCAGGAGAGAGCATGCTCCAGTCCAGATTTTATTTAAAAGCAAACAAAACAAAAACGATTCGGGTGAAAATCTAAGGGAATTGACACGACCTGAACCTCATGTCTTCAGAACTTGATGAAATGTTGCTCAAATGTTGTCTCCATAGGGGTAAGTAAGCCCCCAAATTTGAGCCCTCTACACCACGCTAAGTGCCATGGGACATTTTTTGTCCCACGACACTGAGATTCCAAACGCTTGGAGTATAGCCTGTCGTAACCCGGGAGTCGACGCACCACCTGCCGTAGAACAGGCTCGGCGCCGTTACCGCCGCACGTACGCGCCCGGCAAACATGCAACGACCGATAGTTACATTTGCGCTATTCTTTAACAAGGTACGTGTACGCCAGACCGAATATTGTCGTAATCGTAACAGGCTTCGCGACTAAGGGACTTCCACCAGTTCGATTTTTGACGTAAATTTGCGTGGCAGGACAGCTGCTTCGCTCCCCGAAGTCCGACCGACGCCATTCTGGGCTTAAAATGCTTAATTCCTCACTGCTTATTGGATGGAAAGACTTCGCGTTCAATATGACGAGACTCTAAAGTTTTGTTCAGACCTGAAATTCTCGCCAAAATTTGGTCTTAAACAAGTCTTTGACAAAGGTCTCTTCTCATTCAAATCTTCTCTGCTGAAGAAGAATCATCTCATCCCGTTGACCAGTGTCGAACTCCGGTTTAGGCGCACGTTATGGGAGAGTGAGTGTGCCTAGATCGAAATGGAGAAAACGTTCTGCACATGTTGCGGTGGGCCGCGCCGAGCGCTCGAGAACCAAAGGGGGCGGCGGCTGCGATAATCCCCTGTGGCACTGGTCTGGACTGAAGTGCCGACGGCGCATGCCGACCTGCTGTAGTTGCCCTATGGCGAGACGGGCTGCCCCCGTGTCGGTCCGGATGACGGTGTCAGGCACTTGCTCCGCTGTCCCATTGTCTCGAGCCAGGTAGGTCCTCGGTGGCTCTCGGCTCGGGGGCCGACCCGGGGCACAGTGGGCGATTAGACCCCAAAATCGCGACAAAAGATAAAAAATTAAATGTTACTATTCATAAATTCTCTGGTTGCCCATCTGTAGATAACCCCTCTAGCCACCTCTCCCGCATGGTTTTGAACCTTCGCACTGGTTCGATCGCTCGTAGCGACTTATTGTTTCTCACCCTCTTGCGTAACAGTGCAGCGGCACCCGAACATGTAGATTTCTTTTCAGGCTCGCCGTCGTGAAAATAAGGAACTTAGTGTATTCATTGGCTGGGTGATGATAATTTGAAGTACTGGCTACATTTTGAGCTGTAAAGAACCTACTGACAAGCTGAGAAAGAGTTTAAAATTGTAACTTCAAAACCAGTCGTAATGCGACTGCGAGGTTAGGTTCCGTCGTAATCTTTAAATTGAGATATCTTTTGACTCGCGTCGACTCGTATTAAAAACTCGGCATGAGTCGATAGCTTAGACCGTGTTTATTGTTCTCCAAGTGAGATTAGCTGCTCATGTCTGCCCCCTTTTTGTTAGCAATCGTTTATTTTGCACTAGTTGCGACCAGCCAGCCGTCTGCTAACGTCTCTTATTTTGTTGAAATATTGTATAAGAATGACTTTATCAGATATTTTATGAATGGCATCATAATCAATTCAGCATAAAACGTTAGAAAACACACAAAACAAACTATTTTAATGTTCGAAATTTTTTTTCAAAAAATTTTTTTTTTCCTGGAAAACCAATACCGCCAATGAACTAAGCAATGCCGAAAACAACTGGATACTAAGTTTCAGATCGATAAAAGTTACGCCTGATTTTTGTCGCGGTTTTGGGGTCCAATCGCCCACTGTGCGGGGGCCGGCCACAAAATGTGCGCCAAAACTAGATGTTCCTAAGCCGGAATTCAACTGTACCCTTCAACCTAGCAACATCAATCTCCTGCTTCTTCCTGAAGGTTAGGCCTCTCTCGCATTGAGCGTGCTTAAGTGTTCGCCGCCATTTTACTCATTTCTATTTTGGCATGAATCCTGCACTGAAATTCAAAGGGTGAGACATCTGACCGATTTTCGGTGATACAAAAAGTATGACCGAAAAACGGTCATACACAAATGTATGACCGAAAAACGGTCATACACAAATGTATGACCGAAAAACGGTCATACTTAAATGTATGACCAAAGAAAAGGTCAGACATCAGCGAGACTGGCTATTGTTTAGCTTGGGGATATATCAGCCTTCACCCGTGATACACTATAAAGTATGACCGTTTTTCGGTCATACATAGAAGTATGACCGTTTTTCGGTCATACATCGAAGTATGACCGTTTTTTTGGCCATACATCGAAGTATGACCGTTTTTCGGTCGTACATTTCAGTAAGACCGTTTAAGCGGTCAAAAGTATGACCTTTCTATTTTCAGTGTGTGTAGGGAGCGGGCTTGGAATTGAGAGGCACACGTTTAGCTCAGATGTTTATTGGTCAGATGCCAAGACAGAACTGACAAGTACGGTAGTGACAGGACGGACTGACTACAAAGTAGGTTTACGCCAGACCACGTCTTGTCGTAACAGGCTTCGCGATGTCTCGCGGCCTGTTCCTCCAATCCGCGCCTGGCGTACCTACCTTGGCCTGCGGCGCTAGCCTGCCTTCGGCAGGCACTTGTTGCATGCTGGGGTGCTCCGCCCCAGACCCCCCTTCATTCTGGATAGAGTTGCTTCATCTATACACTGCAAAAAAAATTCTGAAATTTAAGACATGAAAATGTCTTAAATTTAATAACATTTTGAAATGATATGAAAACTCAGAAAAGTTTGTGAAAAGTGCTATACTTTATTACATTTACCAAAACTAAAATGAAAAGTAATAAATAGTTGGTAAATTTCAAAACCACTTTTAACACTTAGGAACAGGGTTGTCAAAATTAAGATTGCCTGCAAAAATTAAGAATTGGTTTCTTAAAATCCACATGACTGATGACTTTTCATAACTAGATTTCTGAAACTAACTGATTGAAGTTAAAGTTGAACGCTTCAGTGATAGCTGTCACATTCAACGTAAACCGAAGGTTTAGTTTGATTACTTCACGCAAACTGTCGACAAGCCACTTCTCACACGGTATGGCCCACAGTCAGCCGCTGGGTTCAAGGTCAGGTTTCACAGACCTGCCGCTAGGTGGCGCCTAGAGCGCCGTGTCCGTTCCCGAATAAGTATTTCCTATTTGTATTTCTAAAAGAACTTCTTTTGGCAAATGATACCATCTGTTGCCTTAGTAAATGTCTTCTCTAGCCGCTAGCTCAAATTTTTTAATAAAATATTCCACTGGAGTTGAGTAAAACGCATAACCATGTTGCCACTCGCTGGCGTCTGCCGTCAGCCACTAGATTAGGTCCAGGCACCTCCTCCGCTGTGGCACAGTCGGAAGATGGAAGACAAACAATTGTCAGGTCTTCGTACTCCGACTAATTTTAGACTACCGACACTGTTATGTGACACGATGTAAGGTGCATTTCAGATTTCTGACATCCACACTCGGAATCGGACGTCGGTATAGAAGTTCTTTTCTTCCACTTTAGTCAAATATGTATATGAATTTTAATAAACCATGATCTATGAATTTTAAAAACTTGGTCATTAGTTTTAAGAGGAGAAAGTTTCTTACTTATAATAGCAAAAAATCTTTGTAAACTGCTTCACAAACTAGTTTCTTAAAATTAAGATGGATTTTTTTTGCAGTGTACAGATAACTCGATCTTGACCCTTGTAACGTTTTAAATTGTCGGGGCTGCGAGGCTCCGCCTCCCAGACCCCCTCTCTTCAAGACAGGAGTGATCTGCCTGCAGAAAAATCGATTTTTTTGCCGTTTTTTGGCTGAGCGATAGCGAAGCCCTTGCCGTGTTTGGGCGCGCTGAAAAGTGACTGGTCGTGCGTCTGTC